ATTTTCTAGAGAGGTATCACAGATATATCACATAGACTAGCCAAACACCTCATCGATGTTTGTGAGACACATCTTAGATATATCACATAGACTAGCCAAACACCTCATCAATGTTTGTGAGACACATCTTTGACAGATATATCACATAGATTAGTGAAATACCTCAATAATGTTTGTGAGACAAATTGATGACAGGGAGGTATGTATAAAGCATTGACCAGAAATTAGTCTTTGAGAGCAGTGGCTGACGTAGAAAAAGTATTTTTTGGACCTTTCTGGCAGCGAAGACCTGGGATCTCCTAATCTGTTTCATAGGTGTTTAACTGAGATATCGTAGACAGATGACGTATTTCATAGTGTGACTGAGATATTGTCGACAGATGACGCATTTCATAGCAGTCTGATTGAGATATTGTCGACAGATGACGTATTTCATAGCAGACTGACTGAGATATTGTCGACAGATGACGTATTTCATAGCAGTCTGATTGAGATATTGTCGACAGATGACGTATTTCATAGCAGTCTGATTGAGATATTGTCGACAGATGACGTATTTCATAGCAGTCTGACTGAGATATTGTCGACAGATGATGTATTTCATAGCAGTCTGACTGAGATATTGTCGACAGATGACGTATTTCATAGCAGTCTGACTGAGATATTGTCGACAGATGACGTATTTCATAGCAGTCTGATTGAGATATTGTCGACAGATGACGTATTTCATAGCAGTCTGATTGAGATATTGTCGACAGATGACTATTTCATAGCAGTCTGACTGAGATATTGTCGACAGATGACGTATTTCATAGCAGACTGACTTAGATATTGTCGACAGATGACGTATTTCATAGCAGACTGACTGAGATATTGTCGACAGATGACGTATTTCATAGCAGACTGACTGAGATATTGTCGACAGATGTCCTGAGACACACAGTTTCTAGATGTATCGATCTAAGGCATGCTATTGACACAGATGTCTGTTTGACGAGATACTTATATATATATATATATAACATTGTCGCAACTGTAAACACACATCTCCTGACGTGGTTTGTCTTGTTGCCAGATGTAATCCAATATCTACTTACACGTTTTGTCTTGTCCTCAGCTGGAAAGAAAAATCTTCTTACATGGTTTGTCTTGTTGCCATATGTAAAGAAATGTCTACCTAAATGGTTTGTCAAATCGGCATTTATATTGTCTACTTATATATATATATATATATATATATATATATATATATATATATATATATATATATATATATTTATATATATATTTGCTAGCTGCAAAGAAGTATATTTTTGCATAGTTTGTCTTGTCGTCGGCTGTGAAGAAGTGGCAACTCACATGGTTTATCTTGTCGCCGGCTGTAAAGAAGTGGCAACGCACATAGTTTGTCTTGTCGCCGACTGGGAAGAAGTGTCAACTCACATGGTTTGACTTGTCGCCGACTGGAAAGAAGTGTCAACTCACATGGTTTGTCTTGTCGCCGGCTGTGAAGAAGTGGCAACTCACATGGTTTGTCTTGTCGCCGACTGGGAAGAAGTGTCAACTCACATGGTTTGTCTTGTCGCCGACTGGGAAGAAGTGTCAACTCACATGGTTTGTCAGGGGCCCAGCTGTAAACAAACATATACTTTCATAGGCTGTCTTTCCGCAAACTAAGATCACCACACCACCCCCCCCCCCCCTTTTTCCCGCCCGTTCCCCCGTATTTGTGCAAGGTTTCTTAATATGATAATAAAAAATGGCGATGGTGATTAGTTCACCTTGATCTGACAGCCACGTGACCTTAGTTCCGGGGCGTGTCAAGAAAGCCAAGGAAGTCCTTTCAAAGACCGCTATCAAAGTTAAAGCAGCTAGTGTCACGTGCTGTCACGCATGGCTGCAGACCCGACCAGACCATCCACCCCACCCGACTCCAAAGCCCACCCCACTATCACCCCCATCAGGAGGCCACATCAAAAGTAGAATATAATCTGTACCACTTTAACCATGATCAAAACTAATGGACAGATTTCCACTGGCGTTCATCGAGCGGAATCGATTGCTCCGTCGGTCATCGATTTTCGTTGCCTATTCCACCAGTTGTGCCCAGGGCGTGAGGTAACTTCAATAGTTAATGGTTTCTTGTGTTTTCCTGATGTTTTGTGGACACTTTTTATGTGCTGACGCTTGGCACCGCTGTTTTATGTAGATTTTTGGGGGGAGTCGATGCTTGGGTGGAATAGATGTTTAGGTAAACTTTTCTGTGCCGACGTTTTGGATAGATTGTAGGTTTTATATAAACATTTTATGTGTCGACATTTGGGGTGTAATGTGTGTTTTTTGTAAATATTTTATGTGTTGACGTTTGGGGTGTAATGTTTGTTTGTTTGTAAATATTTTATGTGTCGACGTTTCGGATCGAATGTATGCTTTGCGTAAGTTGTTTATGTGTCGATATGAGTGGAACCTATGTTTCACGTAAAGTTATTATGTGTTGACATTTGGAGTGTAACATATGTTCGACGTAAACTTGTTATGTGTTGACATTTAGAGTGTAACATATGTTCGACGTAAACGTAGTGGCGAGACATTATTGTTGACACATGTTACATTGAGAAGCTGTCGAGATGTAGTGGCGAGACAATATTGTTGACACATGTTACATTGAGAAGCTGCCGAGATGTAGTGGCGAGACAATATTGTTGACACATGTTACATTGAGAAGCTGCCGAGATGTAGTGGCGAGACAATATTGTTGACACTTGTTACATTGAGAAGCTGTCGAGATGTAGTGGCGAGATATTAATGTTGACACTTGTTACATTGAGGAGCTGCCGAAGTGTAGTGGCGAGACTCTCGTCTGCGGATCCAATTATCGGGGATTCAGGTCCATGGTACCATGTGTAAATTACCATGTGTAAAGTACCATGTGTAAAGTACCATGTGTAAAGTACCATGTGTAAAGTACCATGTGTAAAGTACCATGTGTAAAGTACCATGACTACCTTAAATGGATACCAGTCCTAGGAAGTAAAGGCGGCCGACATGAGGTTGACCACATCACTAACTGAGTACCAATACGCCTGAAGACATGGTCAAGAGTCCTTGACTTGTCACTGATGACATTAACCTGACAGACCGGAGTCTTGATTGTCCCTTCCAGTAATCAATATCAGATAATTGAAGAGATCTGGTAGTCACGGGATCTGTGTCGTGTAACCCTGTGGAGTCACTTAGCCCAGTGTTTTTCAGCCTGTTTAGTCACGGCATCTGTGTCGTGTAACCCTGTGGAGTCACTTAGCCCAGTGTTATTCAGCCTGTTAATACGGCGGACCGGCAACATAGGAGCATTTCTGTCTGTTGCGGGCCAGCTGTGGGCCAAGACCGTTTTCCTCTGAAGGGGAGGGTCTTGTGTCGGCCAACACAAGGACAGCAACAAATGTAGATTTTACATAATGACTGTTTAGTGTCTCCAGAATGAAGGTTGTCAGCACGGCACATACTGCTATTGTTAGGACTTTTGCGTTCTGAGGTCTTGATCTCCTATACGGTGGAGTTGTATGGCAGCCGTAAGAACTGATATAGTTCGCATAAGAAAAGCAACCTTGGCATGTTGAACATTGCTTTCTGGGAGAATTTCACATGCCTGTGAGCCACAGAGTTCTACTAATGGTGGTTATCGTTAAATTGACTAAATCCAGTTACAACATTTAGCTATTTAAACAACCATAGATTGTAGGTTAAGCAGTCAGATATACATGGCGGGGGCGTTGTTTGAGACAAAAGAAGCTCTGAAACAACAGCTACGGTATTCAGTTTGTCTTTAATTATTTCCATAGTTTATAATTCCGAGGCAACATTGTCGATTGTATCTGGGCCCCGCCAGCAGGCATGTCCGCAGACTGCAGGCAGAAGAACACTGGGTTGACCCTTTCAGGACCCTGCACTCTGACACCAGGCTGCTGTCATGTCCTTCCGCCATGTCCTTGTCCTCCCGAAAAATGTCCTGACACCCACATTTCTAAGACGTTGACGTCACCGACGCTAGTTACCAGTGTCTTGGCAATTAATCAGTGAAGCTGTTTTGTTCTTGTCCACAGATGTTGTCAGGCCTAGGCTCCCCCAGCCACTGACTCCACTAGCCGCTGAAGTTCTCCATCGATCTACCGTTTGTGTGGAAGCGCTGAGACCCGGCAGGTGTGGAGAGCCTCCCCCGTGTGGCCCACAACTCCACCATCGATCTGTGTTCGCATCAACCAGTCTGTTCGTCACGCAGGCCACAGATCTGGCAGCACCGCATCACCACATACACTTGTTTCAACGTGTCCTGACTGGCAGCCGGATTATCTAACAATACTACCGGCTTGTTTTAACAACTGGTGTGGCCGCACAGTAGTTGTCCGGACAGTCAGCATCCCATCTATCTTGACTCGTTGACTGTAATCATCCGTAATTCACACTCGATCAAACTCAAGCACATACACCTACACAACAGTTTGCGTTGAATCCTGGAGTTTCTGATATCACTAATCCAGGATTTGATATCGAGATTCCGAGACCACTAATTCAGGATTTTATATCGAGATTCCGAGTGCGATAAATGAGGATTTGATATATAGTTTCGTCGATTTCCCTTGACACCAGCAGTTTGATTAACTGGCAGTGGCCCTATTCAAGGCATGTCGGGGGAGTCGAGGGGAATGTGCCGCAGGTCGTTTAGAGAAATGTACGACAGGGTTCTCTAGCTATCATCCTGTTGTCGTCTGTCGCAGGTGTGGAACTGTGGCCTCACATTACCTTGCTAGCTTCTGCATCGGCAGCGCACACAAATCTACCCGTTCCAAGTCGCTAGCAGACGAACATATCGATTGGGTGCCAACAAGTGTTTGATACGCTCCTGGCCAAAGCCAGGCATTCCTCCACCACCACCCGAGCGCGCCAGCCCCTCCCTGCCCCCTGGCGCCACCACCGCTCTTGTCTCGTCTCCCAAGCCCAGGAAAATGAATTTAGAAATTCCAGACGGATTGGGCGATTTGCTGCGAGATTTCACCGTGGCCGTGCTAAAGGAGCGGCCAGGCGATCTGTACGATTTTGCAGTTGATTACTTCACCAAGGCCAGGGAAGCCCGGCGGCCCAAGGACGTGCCTATGTACATCATTGTTGAAGATGATGATGAGGCTGGCGAGCCGGACAGAACCGCCTTCAAACCCAAAACCAGCAGCGGCCGCTACGCGCGGAGACAGTCCGTATCCGCGGAGAGATACAACCCGGAGGAAGACGAGGACGATGATGACTTCATTATCCACCCAAAGACAGACGAGCAGCGCGAGAGGCTCACCAAAACCGTCAGCAGTATCTTGCTGTTCCGCTCCCTGGAACCAGAGCAGACCTCACAGGTGGTCGATGCCATGTTTGAGAGGAAGGTGGTGCCAGGTGAGACGGTGATCCAGCAGGGAGACGACGGCGATAACTTCTATGTCATTGATACCGGAGTCTACGACGTTCTGGCTGACGTCAAAGGGGAGGAGAAGAAGGTCCACCAGTTTGACAACCGAGGCAGTTTTGGCGAGTTGGCCCTCATGTACAACATGCCTCGCTCGGCCACTGTCCGAGCCGTCACAGAGGGCACACTGTGGGCTATGGATCGAAGCTCATTCCGGAGAATCGTGCTGAAATCTGCCTTCAAGAAGCGCAAGAAGTATGAGGACCTGCTGGAAAGTGTTCCCATCCTACAGAACCTGGACAGATACGAACGCATGACCTTGGCCGATGCTCTTGTATCGCGCGTCTACCAGGACGGGGAGGCGATCATCAAACAAGGCGACGATCCTGACGGCGTTTACTTCGTGGAAGATGGAACCATCCGCATCACCATGGCTTCTCCCGATGGCACGGAGAAGGAGATTGGCGTAAAGACGACATGTACCTACTTCGGCGAGTTGGCGTTGATCGAGAACAAACCACGCACAGCCAGTGTCTACGCCGTGGGCCGGGTCAAAGTGGCCTTTCTGGAGCGAGACTGCTTTGAGCGGTTGTTAGGTCCCTGTGTGGAGATCATGAAGCGGAACAGCCAGAACTATACCATGTCTGTGTCTAACTAACTACCATCATTCCCTGCTCGTCTCCGTGTTGGCTTCCTAGTTCCGGGAAGTGTATGATGTGATCATGCTAACCAGAGGATACGTGAAACTGTGATTAATTACTTTTACTGTGGTTTTTTTATGTTTATGAGGAATTGACTAGTTGGATGATGCGAACTGGATGTTTACAAGAAGCTTACGTGACTGACTAATTATGGATTACTTAATTTACTGCTATTTTTTGGGAGGGAGTGTGGGGTTCTGACTGACCCATACCAGTTGTGATGTGTAACAGTTGTCCTGACTGACCCCTACCAGTTGTGATGTGCAACAGTTACCCTGACTGACCACTACCAGTTGTGATGTGCAACTGTGGTGCCTCTCTTGTAGTACCACGGACTACTGCTGCAGCTGTGATGTCTGTCGTGTGGTACCATGGACTACTGCTGCAGCTGTGATGTCTCTCTTGGTGTACCATGGACTACTAATTCAGCTGTGATGTCTATCGTATGGTACCATGGACTACTGCTGCAGCTGTGACGTCTATCGTATGGTACTTTGGACTACTGCTGCAGTGTAACGTCTATCGTATGGTACTTTGGACTACTGCTGCAGTGTGACGTCTATCGTATGGTACTTTGGACTAGTGCTGCTGCTGTAACGTCTATCGTATGCTACTTTGGACTACTGCCGCAGCTGTGATGTCTATCGTATGCTACCTTGGACTACTGCTGCAGCTGTAATGTCTGTTATGTGATACCATGGCTCACTGCTGCAGCTGTGATGTCTCTCTTGAGGTACCATGGCTTACTGCTGCAGCTGTGATGTCTACCGTATGGTACCTTGGACTACTGCTGCAGCTGTAATGTCTGTCATGTGATACCATGGCTTACTGCTGCAGCTGTGATGTCTATCGTATGGTACCTTGGACTACTGCTGCAGCTGTGATGTCTGTCATGTAATACCATGGTTTACTGCTGCAGCTGTGATGTCTCTCTTGTTGTACCATGGACTACTGCTGCAGCTGTGATGTATATCGTATGGTACCTTGGACTACTGCTCCAGCTGTGATGTCTGTCATGTGGTACCATGGGTTACTGCTGCAACACAAGGATTACAGCCCAGAGATGACATATACAAACAGTCCCACCTCTTTGCGGTATATATGGCTGTAACTAGGATACATAGAACATGTCACTATATATGGCTGTAACTAGGATACAAATAACATGTCACTATATATGGCTGTAACTAGGATACATATAACATGTCTCTATATATGGCTGTAACTAGGATACATATAACATGTCACTATATATGGCTGTAACTAGGATACATATAACATGTCACTATTTATGGCTGTGACTAGGATACATATAACATGTCACTATTTATGGCTGTGACTAGGATACATATAACATGTCACTATATATGGCTGTAACTAGGATACATAGAACATGTCACTATATATGGCTGTAACTAGGATACAAATAACATGTCACTATATATGGCTGTAACTAGGATGCATATAACATGTCACTATATATGCTTGTAACTAGGATACACGGAACATGTCTTTATATATGGCTGTAACTAGGATACATATAACATGTCACTATATATGGCTGTAAAAGGGATACATATAACATGTCACTATATATGGCTGTAACTAGGATACATATAACATGTCACTATATATGGCTGTAAGTTGGATACATAGAACATGTCACTATTTACGGCTATAACTATGATGCCTAGCACATGTCACTGCACATAGCTGTAACTAGGATACAAAGATCATGTTCTGTGACATACATGGTTATGTCAAGGACACTGTATATGGCAGTAATTAGGATCCTAGAACATGTCAGTTTATCTTCTACTTCTGCACATTCACCAGCTGTCAACTCTGGCAGAAAGTTCTGGTTGTTCCTCCACTTCTGGACTGAAGTCCTGTTCCTGGACTTGAGTGTTGCATGTGCATCCATTTTACACATCTGATTTGTATGCAGACTGCTGGTTTCTTGCCTCTCATGCAGATGCACTCTGACTTCAAAGGAAGCTCCGAATTTTTCGACTCTTACGACAAGCCTTTGAATAGGCAGAGGCTATTCTTGTTTTCCCTATAATAGGGCCCTGTAACCCACACAGGAAATGTCAATATATATATATATATATATATATATATATATATATATATATATATATATATATATATATATATATATATATATATATATATATAGCTATAAGTGGGAAACATAGAACATGTCACTATACATGGCTGTAACTAGGATACATAGAACATGTCACCATACATGGCTGTAACTAGGATACATAGAACATGTCATCATACATGACTGTAACTATGATACATAGAACATGTCACTATACATGGGTGTAACTGAGATACATAGAACATGTCTTAATATACATGGCTGTAACTGAGATAAATAGAACATATCTTAATATACATGCCTGTAACTGAGATACATAGAACATATCTTAATAAACATGGTTGTAACTGAGATACATAGAACATGTCCTTACATACATGGTTGTAACTGAGATAGATAGAACATATCTTAATAAACATGGTTGTAACTGAGATACATAGAACATGTCCTTATATACATGGTTGTAACTGAGATACATAGAACATCTCTTAATATACATGGTTGTAACTGAGATACATAGAACATGTTTCAATATACATGGCTCTAACTGGGATACATAGAACATGTCTTATTATACATGGTTGTAACTGAGATACATAGAACATGTCCTAATGTACATAGCTGTAACTGAGATACATAGAACGTGTCCTTATATACATGGCTATAACTGAGATACATAGAACATGTCCTTATATACATGGCTGTAACTGAGATACATAGAACATGTCTTAATATACATGGCTGTAACTGAGATACATAGAACATGTTTTAATATACATGGCTGTAACTGAGATACATAGAACATGTCCTTATATACATAGCTGTAACTGAGATACATAGAACATGTTTAAATATACATGGTTGTAACTGGGATACATAGAACATGTTTTAATAAACTTGGTTGTAACTGAGATACATTAAACATGTCACTATACATGGCTGTAACTGAGATACATAGAACATGTCTTAATATACATAGTTGTAACTGAGATACATAGAACATGTCCTTATATACATGGCTGTAACTGAGATACATAGAACATGTCTTAATATACATGGCTGTAACTGGGATACATAGAACATGTCCTTATATACATGGTTGTAACTGAGATACATAGAACATGTTTTAATATACATGGCTGTAACTGAGATACATAGAACATGTCCTAATATTAGGGCTGTACCGAATAGTGATTTTGACTATATGGCCGAATACGAATAGTGGGTCCAACTATTCGGCCGAATACGAATACGAAGCCGAATAGTGTATCATCATCATCAGGTGCCTTGCCGACTGGCGTTGGCGATTTTACCTTACCATAATCTGCGATCACCTGCAGCATGTATCAGTTTGTATGCTGACACACCTCCATGCCATGCAACAAGACTGTGAAGCATCTTCTCTTGTTTTCTTCCTCTATCCCTCCTTCCACAGATCTTTCTAGTGGTCACAACATGTTCCATTTTTCCTCTTCTCATAACATGGCCGAAAAATGATGACTGTCTCCTTCTAATGTCTGTGACAAGTTGTCTTCGGGCTCCCGACGCTTTCAAAACCTCTTGGTTGCTTTTTTTTTTTTTTTTTTTGCTTTCCAAGTTATTTTAAGCATTGTTCTGTAAAACCACTTTTCTGAGGCCTCAAGAAATTGTTTGGCTCGCCTGCCGATTGTCCAGGACACAACCATATGTTAAAATTGGATGTATGCAGCAAGCAAGAATTCTTTTTCTAACATTAAATGACAA